CAACCTGCACCCTCTCCAGTCTGGGACCCCTCAAGGGATGTCTGACTACCCATTTAGTCAGGACTGCTAGCTCCCAACCACTTGCCTGCCTGCCTGATTGCCCCTCACCACTTATGCCTGCCAGCCTGATCACCCCTAACCCTGTAGTCGGCAAACCACGGCTCGTGAGTCACATGCGGCTCTTTGGCCCTTTGAGTGTGGATCGGTGTTAGAACCATTTCTTCAAAATAGATTCACCCAGGCCAAAAACCAACTTCAGTGCATGGACCAACAAAGTTTGAATCACACTGTATGTGTGTGCCTGCACATGGTATTTTGTGAAAGAGCCACACCCAAGGGCCCAAAGAGCTGTTTGTGGCTCGTGAGTGGCATTTTGCCTACCACTGCCCTAACCACTTCTGCCTGCCAGCCTGATCACCCCCTAACTGTCCTCCCCTGCCAGCCCGTTCACCTCTAACTGCCCTCCTTTGCCAGTCTGGTCGACCCCAACTGCCCTTCCCTTCAGGCCTGGTCCCCCACAACAGCCCTCCCCTGCTGGCCTGTCGCCCACAACTGCCCTCCCCTGCCGACATCTTGTGGTGGCCATCTTGTGTCCACATGGGGGCAGCCATCTTTTGAGTTGGAGTGACAGTCAATTTACCTATTACCTCTTCATTAAATAGGATGGGAGATGGCTACGTATGTCGAGTCCAACATAACCTGAGGACTGACTGTACTTTGAAGAAAGCACTTTTGATATTTCTTTTGGAATTAGTGTTTACTTTGATTACAAAATCCACATTGTTAACTGGTACACCTAGTAACTCTCATTAGGTAGCCCCAGGTCTGATATAAGCAGTGGCCAGTCTTGACTTGGAATATAGCCTCAAACATGGCACAAGTGGCAGCTGGCTTCAACCATCATCCTGGTGCCCATCAAAGGGTTCCAGGCCCAACACTAATGGCTGCCAGCCTTAGTTTGTAAAATAGCCTCTCTCAGGAACCTCCAAGCCCAGCACAAGTGGAAACCAACCATAGATTGCTCACTTTGTAGCTCTTACCAGATAACCCCGAGCCAGGAACAAGCAGTAGGTAAACCTGACCTGCACTATAGTCCCACCCAAGAGGCTCCAGAACAGTACACACCTGGTGCCATATCAGAGCCCCACCAACCAGCTTTACAAATGACAAACCCAAAGGGCAGACTTGGCTGGCATTAGAGTCCCACTAAAGAGACCTCTCATCTGTGGGGTCAGCCCTTGCAAAACAGCTTGTTCTTAATAGTCACAGCCAGCTCTCAGACCCAGTCAGCCTGAAGGTCAAACTACCCACCGACATGAAAGCAATAACCAAGCCCTGGTCGGGTGGCTAGGTTGGAGCACTGTCATCCCATATACCAAAAAGGTAGTGGGCTGGGGCATGTATTAGAGGCAAATGATTGATGTTTAACTCTTACAGTGATGCTTCTCTTTTTACTCTTGATGTTTCTCACATCGATGTTTCTTTCACTCCTTTCCTCTCTCTAAAAAAAACAATAGGAGCATATCCTAATACATAGAAACAAACACAGGGAGTCAGCCAAAATGAGGACTCAAAGAAACATGTCTCAAAAGAACGAGAAAATGAACTAAATGAAATGGACAAGCAATCTTCCAGATGCAGAGTTCAAAACAATGGTTATATGGATGCTCAATAAATGTAGGGGAGGAGTAGATGAACTCAGTAAGAACATCAACAGTGAGGTAGGAATGGTAAAAATGTGATAGAAAACAAAACAAAAAAGAGTCAAAAATGAAGAATGCAATAATTGAAATGAAATTAGCTGGATTCAGCAATAGATCAGATGAAGCAGAGGATCTAGTCTGCTATCTGGAAGACAAGGGCGTTAAAACCACCCAATTAGAACAGCAAAAGAAAAAAGAATTTTAAAAAGCAAGGGTAGTTTAAGCAACTTCTGGGACAACATCAGTTGTAACAACATTTGCATCAAAGGTACTACAAGAGAAAGAGCAAGGGATTTACTGCTATTTGAATAAATAACAACCAAAATCTTCCCTAATCTAACAATGGAAACAGATGTACAGTTCTAGGAAGTATAGAGAGCCCCAAACAGATGAACCCAAAGAGGCCCACACTAGGACACATAGTTAAACTCCCAAAGGTTAAAGAAACAGAAAAAACCTCAAGCAGTTAGTTATGTAAAGGGAGCTCTATTAGGCAATCAGCTGTTTTTCAACAGAAACTTTGCAGGCCAGAAGGGAATGGCATGAAATATTCAAAATGATGAAAAGCAAGGAACTACAAACAAGATTGCTCTACACAGAAAAGCTTTCATTTAGAATCAAAGGAGCAACAAAGAGTTTCCCAGACAAGAAAAAAACTAAAGGAGTTCATCTCCACTAACTCAGTGTTAGTGTTATAAGAAATGTTAAGTGACTTCATTAATTTGAAAGGATAAAAAATACAAATAAGAAAGTACAGGAAAGAAAAAAAAAAGATCTCATTGACAAAGGCAAATATCTAGGAAACACTATGGATCATCCAACTATAAAGCTTATACAAGCATTAACCCTTTGTATGCCATAAGAATCTATAGGCACAATTCAATTCAAAATATGTGGCATGTGGGGATGGTTTCCATTTTGGATGCATGACAGTTAACTAGTTAAAGACAAAATTTAGAAGATTATGTGTTATTACAACAATAAATTAAGGGATTCACATAAACACATGCACAAAAGAAGTACAAATACTCCAATCAAAAGACCTAGCATAGGTGAATGGATAATATAACAAGACCCATACATATATTGCCTACAAGGGACCCACTTCAGATTGAAAGGCTAAAAGTAAAGGGATGAAAGAGATATTGCATTCAATTGGAAACAAAACAAAGCTGGGGTAGCAATAACTATAATATATCAGACAAAATAAACTTTAAAACAAGGGCTGTAACGAGGGGAAAAAAGAACATTCCATATTGATAAAGGGATCAGTTCAACAAGAAAGTATAACTCTTGTGAACATCTACACATGTAACACAGTTGCATCTAAATATATTAAGTATTTAAAGGACATAAAAGATCAACAGCAGTAATAATAAAAAACTTTAACATCCCATTGATATCAATGGATAGATCATCCAGACAGAAAACCTACAAGGAAATAGTTGCCTTACATGACACTTCATACCAGAGGACTAAGTTGATATTTTTAGGACACTTTCCCAAAAGTATAAGAATGTACATTCTTTTTAAGTGCATGTAGAACATTTTCCAGGATAGATAAAATAGTAGGCCACAAAATAAATCTCAATAAACTGAAAAAGACTGAAGTCCAATGAAGCATCTTCTATCACAGTGGTATGAAAGTAGAAATCAATTACAAGAAGAAAACTGAAAAAACACAAAAAATGCGGAAAATGAATAACATGCTACTAAACAATGAATTCTAACATATAACTTAGCATACTACTTAACAGTGAAATCAAGGAAAAAATCAAAACATCTGGAGACAAATAAAAATGAAAACACAATGACCCCAAAATCCATCCAACAGAGCCAAAGAAGTTCTAAGAAGGAGATATATAGCAATACAGGCCTACCTCAAGAAACATGATCAATCTCAAATAAACAATCTAACATTAAAGGAACTAAAAAAGATGAGCAAACAAAGCCCAAAAAGAGAAGGAAGGAAATAACAAAGATCAGAGTGGAAACAATAGAGATAGAGTCTAAAAAGACAATATAAAGAGGTTCTTTGAAAAGACTAATAAAATCGATAAAACTTTAACCAGACTAAGAAAAAAAGAATTGAAAGAGGAGAGGTGACAACAGACACCACGGAAATACAAATGATATAAGAAAACTAGAGGCCCAGTGCATTAATTCATGCACCAGTGGGGGTCCCTCAGCCTGGCCTGCAGGTTCAGGCCTAAACTGGCTCTCCGGACATCCTTCAAGGGGTTCTGGATTGCCAGAGGATGCAGGCCAAACTGAGGATATCATTGGTTGGCCAACCAGGGAGGGACTGTGGGAGGGCTCCAGGGCATGTTTAGCCCATCTTGCTCAGTCCTAATCAGCCGGACCCCAGTAGTAAGCTAACCTACCAATCGAAGTGTCTGCCTTCTGGTGATCAGTGCACATCAGCAAGCAGTTGAGTGGCCTTAGCATATCATTAGCATATTATGCTTTGATTGTTTGAACGGCTCACTGGATGACTGGACACTTAGCATATTAGGCTTTTATTATATAGGCTAGGATACTACAAACAATCATAGTCCAAGAAAATGGGCAACCTGGAAGAACCAAATTCTTAATCCTCTAAGACAGAATCAAGAAGACAGAAAATCTATGCAGACTGATATCTACTATGAAATCGAAGCAGTAATCTAAAAACTTCCTAGAGTCAAAAAAACTGATTGACTTGTCAGCTCCATAGCATAAGCTCCCTTGGTAGCCACATCATGAAACCACTTTATAAAGGTCACAGTCAAGTCCCCATGAATACTTTTCAGTACTGTTACTAATGATTACTTAAAAGTAAAAACAATAACAAAACAATAAAATGAAGGTAATTCAGAAAAACGTATCACTGTTATAACAACGTAATTTACCAAAATATGTTTTTGAATGAAATTATATGTAGTAACATTTTTAAAACCTACTAAAAAAATTACTGCACTCAGAATCAGAGACAAAGTCTAAATTTTGTCCCCATCATTATGATTAGCCCAATCATGGAGCCCTCTGGTTCTCAGGGATGCCTTGGTGACACATCTGGACTGGGATAATGTCTACAGCACCATTTCCACCTTCTATTCTTCCTATTGCTTTTGCCATTTTTGTAATCCTTTGCACTTAGACCAACCAGTTGACAAACAAACCTATCCAACTGCTATTTTCCCTTTCAGGTTTTTTTTTTTTTTTTTTTTTGCCAAGGAGATAGAAACCAATGAATTACTCATTTGACAGTATGACCTAAGAAATATTTTTGTTTTAAGTGAAAAGTTTCTCTCCTACCTGAAGGAAGAAGGAAAAGGTCTTGTCCTGAGGATGGCCGGCTACTGGAGCCAGGAGGTTTTGAATGTTCGATGAGACTATGCCTTGCAGGAGGTGGAGGAGGTGGGAGGGAAGGGGGGAGAGCATCAAAAGCACCTTCACCTGCATTTAAAGAAAGATCAGTATCAACAGCAGAACTTCATTAGTCAAAACACAGTATAAGGCCAAAGTAATTATTGATTTTCTCTTGTTGCTTATAAAGAACTTCACTTGCAGTGTTTATCCAGCTGTTCACCAACTTTGATAATGGGAGTTAAATATTTTGTGGACTATGGAAGCAGTAAACCACACACACATACACACATGTATGTGCAAACTTTTCCTATTCTTTCTATTAAAAAGCAGTACTGCAGGTTATGAAACAGCTTACTATTCACCTGTGAGCTTTAAATTATTAAGACACTAGAATTTCGAACTAAAAATTATGTCACACCATCAAAACAGAACTTTTTGTGTAACAGCCTCTAATTAGAAAATCACACTATGCACAAAAATTTAATGTCACATAATAGATTATCTTTTAAACTTTATCCTACAAGGTTGTAAGTTATTGAAGCTAATGCTCCATATATTTTATTATCAAAATTTACCGCAAATGGCCACCTACTGGAGAAAAATATATTTTTCTATTACAATACCATGTTTTCCGGCATATAAGACGACCCCTAATTTTACAGTTAAAACATAGGTTTAGGCCTATATTCGCTGTATAAGACTATCCCCCACTTCCGAGGCAACACCAGTTCTTTTTTTAATAGACCGCCTCTCTGACTCTGGCCAATCTGAGCAGGCTTTTTACTATTGTAGAACACATTATAGCTTCGGGTACAGAACATGTATAATTTGCATGCATAAAAAGCCTGCTTGGATTGGCTGAATTAGAGAGGCGGTCCAAGCAGCCTTGCAGTGATTGGTGTGGGATCGAGTTGGAAAAGTCATTTAGCGGCATATCGAGACGTTTTTCGGGATATACTTGGCGTATAAGACAACCCCCGATTTTCGGTTGACTTTTTTTTCATTTCAAAAGTCTTCTCATAAACCGCAAAATACGATATATCACTAAAGAGAAACAGTTAAATACTACTTTGTGTGTTCACAAAGCTAATTACTCATATTTGCATATTTTCCAGTTTTAGCAACTACAGAACACTGTGAAATGCTTTTGTCTATTTCCCCCTGCCACATGTACTATTCTATGCACATTTTCCCTTATAATGATTCTTTTAAAAAAATTAAGTTGCAGAGTATATAAGCAATCTCAAATGCTCTGCGAATAAAACAGTGTATATAAATAAATAACTACATATTCCAGTAACAAAAACTCACACGTTTAAATTTACTGACAAACCAAAAGGTATATGTAAAGAAAATAGTTTACAATTCATGCAGCTTGCTTTGCAAAAAGTACTGAAAGTATTTTCTTTAATAATCAAAAATATTTTTCTAACTTAAAATATGTGAAGGTATAGCAGAGGTAGTTCTATTATCATTCCAACCTTAAGCTATCTGTTAAATTATCTGATTCATTCAAATACTTTTTCAGCCGTGTCAGGCACCATGCCTGGCACATAGGTAACATGAAGATCTAAATCATAAGGATCTTACCCAAAGAGCTTAGAGTCCATAAGGAGATCTAAGAAAAGTTCATTAATGATTTAAGATGAAAGTTCCATAGGTCCCACAGAGAGAGATTCATTTTAAGAGGGAAGAGGAATGAAGAAATTGGCATTAAGCAAGATGTTACCAAGAACATGAAGGTGTGGGCTAGCAGTGGCTCAAGAATATTTGTCAAATGGGAAGATGGTGTCTTTTAGACAGAGCAAACAGTGTGAATAAAGCATGAGACGTACAGAGGAAAGTGGGGTTAAAAAGATAGGTTGGAGCATTTGTCTATACTGCCCAATATAGTAGTCACCATGCACATGTAGCTATTTAGTTTAAATTTCACTAAAATTCAATTCCATTGTCAAATGTGTGAATATATAGACCCTTCCATCACCGCATGAAGTTCTATTGGACAGTGATCACCTAGATCCTGGAGACTTGGGTAATAGGTCAAACATCAGTGAATAGGAAGAATAAGGGAGAAAAATACCACGTAAAGAAGTTAGAAGCCTTGTCGTTCATGTAGGTGAGAATAAAGCACTGAACTACTGAAAGGACAGGAGAGGTTTGTAAAATAAAAAAGAACAGGAGAGTAAAAGATATCGCAATAGTGTAATTGGAAACACTGGTTGATGGTGTTTAAGGAAAAAAATAAAGAGTTTTACTTCACATTTCTGGCCGTCTAATAATTCAGAGAAGCTTAAAAATGGGCCTTCATCATACATTATTTTACCATAAGGTGACCTGTTATTATAAAGCCTTAATGTGTGGGAAGGTTCTAGTTGACTTCTTCTAAATATAGGGCAAGAAACTTCCCACCTAGGCTTAAGGGCTTAACACATGCAGCCAACTTTAGCATGCATACACAACTCTGTGTCTCCACACAGGTGCACACACCGAACACAAAGTATGCTGCTTCATATTAAAATTTGAAACAAAAATTTAGATTCATTGGATGTGTGTGTGTGTGTGTTTTATTGTTGTTTTTTGGTTGTTGTTTTTTACAATTCTTTGCAATGGTGATAATTTATTCTCAGCTCTCTACAATAAAATATATAATTTTCCATAATGTAACTAAGTGGGACCGGATCGTTTTATGCTGAAAGAAACAATACACATTCATTAAAAACTGTACTTAAAGAAAATTTCAGATGACCACTGCAAATCTACTAGAACACAAGTGCCTGAATAATGCTCTCATAGATTTAATAGTTGAAGATATAACTTGATAAAAGTCTGAGGGCCAGCTATTGACACCATTGCTTCAATTCTCTGAATGGAATAATGGTCAAATGAACTTGAGAGCAGCATCACCTGAAGAATCCATTCTAATTCAGACAGGTTCAGAACCTAGTGAGTCTACATTACATGAAACTCCAATTTCTGATAATTCAGATACTAAGTGAAAGAAGAGGCAGGATGGCTTGTTAGAAATTTTTAAAAAAGGTTTCAACCTAATGGAGGGATGAGAAGATCATAATCAGAGGGCGTCCTGTTGAGTGAAGAACCATGCTTTGGATTGTCCCGAGTTGGAGGCCTGGCAGGTGGTAATGGCACTGGATCAGAGGCTGACTCAAAAACATCTCCTAGAGGATAACACAAAATCTTAATGTATTTTCAATTCAACATTGCCATGGACTTTTGCCTTTAAATTCTGACCATTAAGATGTAGAATACAAAGAGAATATGTATTATACATACCCTTTACATATATGCCTAACTCAGGGATGTTTGATTTCTTCATCTCTGAAGATGTACCATGTGTTCCATTCAATATACAATGACCATTATCATAAGACCTATGGCAGAAATCAGAAGATAAAAATAATAAGGATAATTACTTTCTATTTAAAAGTCACTTGGGAGGGTGATGGGAACTAGCAACCCAACTCTTATAATAAAGTTTGAAAATAAATATAATTAAGTTGCTTCTCTGGAAAAAAGTACAAGTAATATTATTACTCAAAATTTAGATACTCTTACTCAAATATTTGTACAAATTAAAAATAAATATCTCATTGAACACAAATTACCTTTTTTTAAGTGAAACTAAGAACTACAGTAGTCACAAAAAGTGTACTTGAAACACATCTTTGAAAATAAATATCTCATTGAACACAAATTACCTTTTTTTAAGTGAAACTAGGAACTACAGTAGCCACAAAAAGTGTACTTGAAACACATCTTTGAAATTAACATATTGCTTTGAAAGAGTTCACTAATTGTCAAGTTTTTGAAGAAAAAAAATGTAATAAAGCAAAAAAATATGTTATTTAACATTATATTTTTATCCCTGTAATTTGAGCTGTCTTTATAACAAACTAGAGCCCATCAAAGATGGAGAACAATATTAAATGATCACAATTGCATTAAAACTCTAATGGTCTGCCTGGCTGGTGTGCTCAGTGGTTCAGTGTCCAACCATGAAATAGGAGGTCATGGATCGATTTCCAGTCAGGACACATGCCCACGGTGTGAGCTTGATCCCCAGTAGGAGGCATGCAGGAGGCAACTGATTGATGTTTCTCTCTCATCTATGTGCATATCTCTCTCCTCTCCTCTCTCTAAAACAAACAAACAAACAGACAAACAAAACAAAAACAAAACAACCTATTAAAAAAAGTCATTAAAAAAATCTGATAGGCATATTCAAAGACCTAGAGTCTATAGTATAATTTCACTGCTGCCACAAACAAGACATTGGCAGTTCTGACAACTGTACAAAAATGACTTTAGCAAAAGTCTTGGGTATATAACAAATATTTTGATCTAGGTGTCTATAAGGATAATACTAAAATTTGTTTTTTTCTGTTGAAATCATACTATGAACACAATGGGTAAAATTGGGGCATGGGAAGACAGCAACAGGAAGAGACGATCCAGACCATGTGTTGTCTTCAGAATATAGCTGTGTAACAATGAAGTTCATTAACTTCTGCTCACAAGGAGCTATATAGAAAGCAGAGTTTAGATTTTACTTTTCTCTAATTTACTCTGAATTCTTGGGGCAAAATAGAATCACATACATAATGGAGGAGTTGGTGGATATTTAAATAGTTATTATAAGAGTGCTTCATTTGTAATTCATTTCCATTCTCTCAGGTAGCCACCTCTCTTCAAGGGGCCAGAAATGTTTCATTTAAAAATAGTTAGCATGTATTGAATTTTCATAATAACGATGGATTTTTACTGAAACGGAATTGAATTATTCATCTACTGTTTAACTTTTTACACATATTGACAATTTGATTCTTCTGATGTTCCAAAGGGTAAGGGGGAACAGAGGAGAAAAAAATATTTAAGCTTAAAGAGTGTTTTGTGGACATAAGAAAATACTCATCCATCAGCTTTCAAGAACAAATTAGATAAAAAAATGCACTCCAATTAAGTTTAGGGATTATCAACATTTATTACTTCTCTATAACAGTACAAAGATGGTAATGGTGGACATAATTCAATTTTATATTCTAGATTTGGGAGGTCTGCCATCAAATAACTCATACAATATGATGTGACAATTAAAATTTAAAGAATTAAAATTATACCCCTCACTTTTTCCAGCAATGAAAAATAATGATACCGTGTAGAGAGAAATATTTCATCTTATTTCAGTTTTTAAAAATTACTACACATTTGTAAGAGTCAAAGGAATTGAAAATTGTAATAATTTGTATTTGACATGAAGGAATAACTTTTTTCTCTTTTAAGAGTAATAGACACTTGGTTCTCCTGATACAATAGATTGCCTCTCAGTTATTTCGTTGTCTTCTCAATGATACTATTTTAGCAGCAAATGTCTTAAACACCAGCAATTAGCAAGAAATACTTGGGTTCTTGCTTTGAAATATGAAGCCCTGGACTTCAAAATGTTAATAATCCCAGTTAATAACTTGGCATAGTGTTGATAATTCCAACCAAGATCACTCATTAAGACAGATCTCTGGTTATAATGAACAGTTGCCTTTCTTTTCCAAGCTTTGCATTTTCTGTCTCAGTATAATATTCAGAGAAAGGCATTAAGAACATTTTTAGATTTCTCATCTGAAAAGGGAAAGCTGCACACATAAAATGCTTTCCGTTGACTGACTAGACCTCAAATGGAAACTGCAGACTAAATAAAGATGGCATAAGTGATTGCAGTGTTCAAGGCTCTCCTCTCTCTCAATCAGGAGACACTGGCAGGCAGAAGGCTGGGCCACAGCAGCAGTGGAACCCTAGTTCATGTTCCCAGCACAGCTCCTGAGACCTTATTACACAAAGAAAACTGAGGCTTAGAAAGTAAGTTTTGAAGCTGAGATTTCACTTGAGTACCTCATATATGTCAGGCTTTTAAAAGAATAAATAATAATATATTATGGCTTACTAATTCAATTAAAAAAGACAAGTTAATATTTCAATACACAACACCCATTTTTAATAACTCATATACTTCAAAGGGGCTACTTCAAAGATCAGGGATGTCTCTAGAATAGTGAGAATAGATAACTGGCAAGAAAAAACACTATTCCTCACATTCTTATTTGATCCAAGCAAAAGGAAGATAGACAGTACCTGATAAAAAGCAGTTAAGAGAAAAAGTTTTAGGGTTTTTCCCCTTTTTCTTCAAGATCTGAATAGAAGGAGGTAGCACATCCAGATGAGAAATGAATAGAAATTACACTACTCTTTACATCATGAAGAAAAATTCTAAGGATGGTTGGCATAATACCTTAGTTTCTAAGCACACACTTTTCTTCATGAAATATGTACTTAGAACTTATAAAAATGGATTGAAACTAGCTTATGGAAAATTTAATTAATCACTATAGGTAACCATCAACAAAATTTGACCAGAGTACAATTTGTTTTTAGGGAGGGAGAGAGGGGCAAAAAGAATGTTCCATTAGACTTATTAGTCAACTAAATTAGTCAAATAACTTGCTGAAAAATTTGTATCTTTTAGTTTTTTTCTGAAATTCAGAAAACAGTATATAGGAAGAAGAGGCTTTGAGCAAGAAAGCAAGGATTTTTAATAAACAGATATGATTTAATTGCTTAAAAATGAACATCATGAATGATAATGTATATGCAGATGTGAGGAGATCAAAAAGTTGCCCATATTCTTACCTAAGAGGAGGTTTTACATTATGACAATGAGATGGCTGTGGATTCAGGGAAACAGGATGAGATGAAGGAATCTTATATTCATCATCATCTTCCTCTACTGGGTCTCTTGTCTTTTCTGAAAGACAATTTGCTAAAGGACCAGTACACCTACCAGAGAGGAAGAAAAAAATCCAGTCTAGTATAAGCATAATAATTTAGAACAAGTCTGATGTGACATAATCAAATTAAAGAAAATACTTTGTCACGTGTATTCATTTTTCAATTACAAGGTAATTGAAAGGCTGTTCTTATGCTAAATACAAAGAAAAGAATTTTCAATCTTTTGTTAAGACTCTACTAATAAAATAAAAAAATGTTATACTTATAATTTTAAATGGCACAGTAAGAAAAACTAGTAACCTGTCAAATAAAATGATCTTGGAGCTGTTAAGAGAAAATGCATAAAATTATTCAAAGCAAAGCTACTAAAATATTAACATTTTGTTCCAATTTAACTTACATCAGTAAATTAAGATTATATATATATATATATATATATATATATATATATATATGGAAATTTTATATTAGTATATTAATGAAAAGGTTCTTATAGAAAGGTCAAACTTTCTGTCTTTAGTAAATATTACCTATAGTTGAAAAATAATCCTACTTTAATTAAATGAAATCTTCCTCCTTGAAGTCACAGTTTAAATTATTTTTTTTCCAAATACAACCAAGAAATAAAAATGACCAAAACAATTAGAAGTAGATAATGAGAAAACTAATTAAGTTGTTGAGATATAGTACATTATTTTTCTGGCTTAAATTCCTTGGCTAAATGAAAAAGAATGAAAATGATTAAGATGATCACCTAATATATGTTCAAACATTTTATTCATCCATGAAAGTAAATAAATTAAACAAAGCCAAGCAAACAAAAACCTTCTGTTTTCACAGTTTTTGTTACTGGAGTTTAACCCTTGGTGACGCAAGAGAGAAATGTCAAATTAGAAATGCAAAAACCTATCCTGATCAACTTTAGGACAACCAACCAGTTTGTATGACAGTGGAGATATATATGGAGCCAAAACTTTTCATTAATCATCATGAACTTATGGCAAATCTATTTCATTAAAATGAAAATAAAGTATTTTGAGACTGCAATTTTGAAGCACCTTCTGTAGAGGGAGCAAGAGTCCTTTGGTATGTTTGCCATCAAGCAAGCCTGAAATAACTTTCATTTTGATCTTCTTACTAGTTAGAATGAAAACAATTTTAAGGGCTTTGTGTCCATTATTAGATGCTTTGAAAACTTGAAAGTTTTCAAACTTTAATGATAACTGAGTCTCTAGGAAGTTCAGAAATGAAAGAAAAACTGCTTATAAGATTTTTCAAAAGTATATTTTTACCCATCTTTGGAAACTTGTTCAATACCAATTTTGAATTCTTATTTGAGTGATCTTGGAATTCAAATGACAGTTCATGGTGGGATAAAAGCACAGTGATGCAGTGACCAAGTCCACTGTCAGTGCCCAGAGCACAAGCTAATAATTATTAATAAACTAAGGATTACCCCTTCTGAGGTGTAACCTTGGGAGATGTACATTCCAAATGAAGGCCACTGAGGATATGGACTACAAAGTGATGGCTTGATTAGAGCAGGGATTTCAAACACAACCTTTCCACGAACTCTTATAAACATGGATATATCAACTTAGCTAACTCAAGGACCAAAGTGGGTTGGTTCTATTAGCAAATGAAATGAGAAAAATATGTACCTTTTCTATGCACTAATACTTTCATTCATAATGAAACTTTTTTCATATGCAATTGAAATAAACTGTATAAAAGAATAAGAACTACTGACCAAATATTCAACAATCATATCAATGTCCGGAAAGTTCTACTACCTGCCTGAAGCAAGTGACTTCCAGAGATTTGAGTTTTTAAAGGAGTACTGCGTTATAAGACTAGAACAGACAACTTTGAAATCACATCTGTTGTGACTGGTTCTATATTTTCTCTTCACCTTACTCTTTCCCCCCCTGCAAATCAACTGAAGGAGTATTTCTGAAGGAAATGAAAATCAAAGCAGGGAAGGTGAGGTGCTTGACTGGGAAGGGGGCATAGAGGAAATCTCTGTACCTTCTCCTCAGTTTTGTTTTGAAACTAAAACTGTTCTAAAAAATAAAGTCTTAATTAAAAATAGAATGGAAGAGGAAGGTACAATGAAGATAAAGAAGTTGTATACAAAATACCAAAGGAGAAATATTGATTCACGCAAACAATTACAATATGTGTAATTATATGTGGGAATTTTTTTTCCCCTCTTCACAAACTCATTCAAGAAGCAGGTTCTATTTAAGTTGCAACTAAATAAATGGTAAAATGATTAGTTTAAGAATTTTCATTGGCGATCATGTATGTTTACTTTACTTTTGACAGTAGAGAAAATATCTAACTTTGGGACATGGGAAAATATGCATTCATTGATTACGTATAAAGGAAATTTTTAGAATACCAGTTAAATAAATTGAAACAAATTCTATTTGGCTGGTTCCAAGTTAAAGATGCCAAGTGAACCATCCTACCATTTACACCTATTGCTTCACTTTCTTTATATTATCATTACACGCTGATGGAGTGTTCTGCACTGTGGTCGCCATTGGTGAGCTAATAAACTGGTAATGCACAGGACACATACTCTCAAAGATGTACAGCCATCCTCACCACAACCTTGTAAAATTCATTGTGTGCTAATTATTTGAGCCGTCACTGAGTAATACATCCATTTTCTTCCTGTACACATTTAAAACAAAGAATATGTGATCTAACGCTATACTTAGTGATTTTTATATTTTGAAACTGAAGGCTCACAGGTGCATTCCTCACAAGCATGTCAAAGTCGCGTCTAGAGGGCTGTGACTTTGGACATGCTTGCTACAGTATCCTATATTCCTGGTGTGAGGCATACAGGGTGGGTAAAAGTAGGTCTACAGCTGTGAATACATGAAACACCAAGGTTATTCTTGTATTATTATTTATTTATTGTTGTATGATTTTTCATATGAACTGTGAACCTACAGCTGCCACACCCTGTATAATCAAAGGGTGCCTTTAACAGATGCCTTTGGATTTACCTACCCGTGTTTCCCTGAAAATAAGACATCCTCCGAAAATAAGACCTAGTGCATGGAAAGATAAGACATCCCCTGAAAATAAGACCTAGCGCAACTTTGGGAGAAAAAATTAATATAAGACACTGTCTTATTTTTTGGGAAACAGGGTATATAACATACTACAGGCATTACCCTAGCAAGTTTTTTCCTTCCCTTCATTTGAGCAATTCTTTTTTTATTGAATTTATTGGGGTGACATCTATAATAATAATAATAAATGCATAATATGCAAATTGACCGAACTGCCGAACAACAAAACTACTGTCCATACAAGCATGCTATGACATACACTGGTGCCAGGCTAGCCAAGCAATTGCACCCCACTCCTGTCACCCACAGAGGGAGGGGTGCTGCTACATTGATGGCAATCAGTGGCAATGGGAGGGGTGGGGGCAGGGCCAGCTGTCAGCAGAGGGTGAAGGAAAGCCCTGATAGGCCCTGATTGCCAGCCAGGCTTAGGGACCCTCCCTGTGCACTGCGGAGTCCAACTGGGTGGATCCTGGTGATCAGCTCCCTCAACCTCCTGCAGCGCCCTCCCCCCCACAACCTGTCCTGCCTTCAGTTGCACCCCCTACTCCCAACCCTGACAAGAGGGAGCCCAATTCCTCATGGAATCAGCCATGTGTTAGCTTTCTGCCATTGCCCTGACAGCACTGAATCCTGTTCACCTACACCCTGGACCCTGACAGGAGGGAGGAAGGAGCCCAATTCCTCATGGTCCCTACCCTGGGCTGGCGTTGGCAACAGAATATGTCTGAAGACCAATTATTAGCACAATGTACCTCTGAAGCTGAAAGAAGCCAGCCTTGTTGACAGAATGTATCTGAAGACCAACTATTGGCACCAGGCCTCTAGTTGGTTAATAATATTATATAGGTTTCAAGTGAGCAATTCTTAATACCTCAGTTAGTCCACCCACTTTTTCAGAAAGAAAGCAAAATAGAAACATCCATCTTCACTTTCTGTAGATGAGCCTCCTGTGACTGCCCTTGACATAAACATGTCTTTTCTATTGTGCGTATTTAGTTATGCTTGTTCACTGACACTGTATTTGTTTTATATATTCACCTAGGTCTCTCTTCTATTTCTGTCTTAAACTGCAAAATACTTAAGAGCAGACCCTGAATCAACAAAGGCCTGCCATGGTATGTGTCCAGGGGAGTGCCCACAAGCTTTTAGAGGAAAATAATGACTGGTTATTACAGGAATACATGACCAAGCTGTTAATGGAAAAGACAAAAATTTTTAGGATCCTTTCATAATCTAGAAAAGCATTTTAAATATAATGTTATTTTTCTTGTTTTAAACATGTAAGATTATTTAAGAATATATGAAGACAAGACATTTAAAAATATTTTATTAAAACTGAATTTTTAGAGCCTGCAATGCAAACTGGTCCGTATTTTTTGTAACTATCCCAATTCTAACAGAGAAAATATCTAACTCAGAGAAATAATAGCTCAGAGAAGTACTAACACCAATTATGGTTGAATTTGAAATGGCTACACATGTACCACATGTAAGTCATTTCCCTGATATATCAGAGTAAGGCTTATAATATACGTATTAATTTTGAAGATTTTTTTTTATCACCAAAGAAAGTCAGTATGGCAAAGAAAGTCAGATTTCATATGCTTAAATTATATATGCATTTTCACTGACTTGTTTTCAAATTGGAGAAACAAATCTCAAGTTACATTTTTAAATTAACTTATTCAGGACCAGTATTATTTCTAATACTTTTAGGGTTTGCTTTAGCAATCAAAAAGATAAATGTTGAGGAAACTTGAACTTTTCTCCATACCCTAATTTTCCAATATATGTCAAATATTAAAGACTTCATGATGATATTTAAAGTGGCATTACTTACCATAGCAAAAAAAATGAAAATGACCCAAATGTTCCTCAGTGGAGGTGTTTTACAATGGAATGTTTACTCTGAGCAATAAGAGGAACAGACTGTTGACACATCTGACAACAGGGCTA